ACATTATGGTGATTCTGTAATAAATTTCTCATTCTTGAGGAAATGAATGAAAATTAGCCTTTCTTCCTGGTGACCCTGAGCTACGAGCCTTAATGTCACACAGGTTCGCTGTTCTTCTGTCGCTTGCTGAAAATCAGACCACATCTGACATTCCTCTCAGGTTTACCCTACGATTTCATGGGCTGGCTTTGTATTTGTTTCCTGGCATTTTCCACCTTTTTGTTTTGTTTTGTTTTCCTAAATTATTTCTTGTGAAAGAAAACAAATACTTATGAAAGGATGACCTTTATGGGAAAGACTGTTGCAGTCAGGGAAGAGGGATCATTGCCTAGGGGGAATGTGCAAACGTCTCACAGGGAAGGAAGAAGAGGGCTTCTCTCTACAGGACCAGAGTAAACGTGCTGCGGAGCACCAGTGTGAGGAGTGGGTCTCGGCATAGCGGGATCAGAGCATGTGGGCAGGAAATGGCTTTCCTGCGGCAGCTGATTGTTGCCAGGGGCCGTTCATAAGGTGCTGTGTTGCGGACCGAGGGTGAAGTATTTTTATAATATTAATAGTGAGACAGACGACCAAGAATGCGATTGAACAGAAAGCATAAAAAAACAGGGGGCCAGTAGTTCTCAACTGAAGACCCCCATTCCAGCTTCCCTGTATCTTTATTGAAAATTATCAGGAAGTAAATCACAAAGAGAATTCAATGGAAATGAAGCCAAACTCTTTCTGTTGAAAACCTTGCCCTTGACTCAGGAGGCAGGGGTCAGCAAATACAAGAACCTGGTAAACCATGAAGGATTACCTTAGTGCCTCAGGGTGAATTCCAGCTTGTACCTCACCTCCCCCACATCCTGATAGCATTCCGTTTATTACAAATAGTTCGCATTGGCTTCCCATAGGCCTGCTTTACACTGCAGCATCCCCTCAAGCTGGTTGGAGGGCCTCTGGGGACTCAGGGCCTCTGACATTTTACATTCTGGTCAAGTAAAGCTGGCAAGTGTTTAGTCCAGTTTGGTCAGTGGACACAGAGTTCAGCTGATCACTTATCAGGCCAGGCTAGTGAATCCGTAGCATCCATGCCTGGCCTTGTGGTGGGTGAACAGGGGCTCATGCTTGAGTTTTTCTAAGTCACATGGCCAAGGATGTTTCTCGTGGTAAGCTGTTCCCAGAAGCACACTGGGTGGGGTGATGGTTTACTCCCGGAGCACAGAGCTCAGACAGAAATCAACATTGTCAACCCTTAGCTTCCTCCTGCATTCCACCCCTCTTTGTCTTCTGTAGACTTTTTTTTTCTCCTGGCATCCTTTTTTCCTTGTTCCTGGGCCCTATTTTCTGTTTCAATCCCTTGAACTCAGAACCCACGGCCACTGAGTGATCTCTGGGTCACAATGACCCTATTCGATGGGGTAGAATTTCCCCCGGGGGTTTCCAGGTCTGTAAATCTGTATGAAAACTCATTTCCATATCTTTCTTACATGAAGCGGTTGGTGAATTCAAACCACCAGCCTTCCCATTAGAGTTCCCAACAGTTAACAATGGGTCTGCTTACCCCTCTGCACACGTCTTATTAATGTATGTTCTTATTTTCCTGGAATATTTCCAAAAGGGATTTACTAAGAAGGGCTGGAGGAGAAGCAAATCCTGAGTTCTTGTTTGTCTGATTAAAAAAAAAAAAAAGTTCTTCCTTTCACCAATTTCTAGTTTGACAGAGCACAGAGTCTTAGGGAGAAATTACTTCCTTTAAAATTCTGCAGATATTTCTCCATTGCATTTAGCTGCAAGAAGTCCAGTGTGTATGTGTGTGTGTGCGCACATGTGTGTAACAAGAGGGTCGTTTCCTCCTCAAATGCCCTGTATTTCCTTTTTCCACAAACAGGATCTCTTCTCACTAAATTTATTTGCAGCGAAAAAGAATTCATGTGCATCCAATCATGGGAAAATAGCACCAGATAAATAATTAAGTGCTTATTAGGGAATCTTGTTAAAACATAGTTAGAGTTGACACTTTCAAGAACGACAAAAGGGCTGTGGCGTTTTCGTCTCCGCCTTCAATGGGGGTGATCAACTTTCTCCCGAATGGAAGCTTAATGAGGGTCCATCGCTCGGTTCCTTGTCTCTTCTCAAAGCCCCCTTGATGAGAAACAGCTCTGTCGTTTGTAATTACATGTAGATTATTCTTTTTCTACATCCAAAATAGACTTTTCCTAAATAATACGGAGGAGATTAGCATATGCATTTGATTTCATTACTAAATTTTAATACCAAGTTGGCAATTTCTCCTGCTGATGAAATAGTGTTGATTACCCCTTCCCTCGGAGCCGCTGCCACGTCCGCCAGCTCGGTGTGGGCACCGGGAAGGCGGCCCTGCAGCTGTGGGTTGCAGATTCGCAGGACTTGGCTCATCCTCGCTGGAAGCCGTTCTCTGAGTCACTGGAAACTTCTCCATCCGGCTCCCCAACTCTCCAAGCTGTTCTTCTTTGACGCTTTCACTCAGGCTCACTGGAAGAAAGCCCAAGCGGTAAAGTTACAGAAGTACGACTTTCCACTGAAGCCCGGCCTGAGTCGGCCCACGGGCTCCACACCCACCCCGTCTGCTGTGGGGAAGCGCTGCACGTCAGCTCACTGTGTGGCCCTGTAGGACGTGAAGGTCTTGTCTCCCGAGTCGGAGCCCAGGGTGGAAGGAGTCTACCTGGACATCCAGCCTCGCTGGGTGAATTAACAAATTCTTTAAGAACCCGTGACACACCTGCGTGGCTGCGTGGCTTGCTGTAGGCTCTCGCTGACCCCACATGAGCGGGGTGGCCCAGCTCCCACAGGCCATCACGCCCGTCTTCTGAGGCACCCCCGGTGGCTTTGAACCCAGCTTCCAAACAGTTGACCCTGTTTGACTTCTCTGGTGGGAATTTTCATCTCCACCCAATAGGATGAAAGACAAACCAAACCCAAGCACCAGCCTCCGTGCTGTGGCCTCTGTCCTGACTCGGCCGCCTCTCCTCGGGCTGTGACTTGTTACAGGAGCAGACTGCCTCCCTGGCTGCCATGGGGCTCCCATGGTTTCGAACTGCTGACTTTTTGATTAGCAGTCCAGCCCCTTACACACTACCACACCAGGGTTCCTGAAGAGCTTCTCTAGTTGCCTAGTGATACAAAGCTGCACTGTGATCCCAAAGGCGCCCGATCGAATCTGCCCGCTGCTCTGTGGGAGAAGAATGGGCAGTCTCCTCCTGGGTGATTCAGAGCCTCTGAAATCCTGCTGAAGGGCCAACTATGATCTATTCTGACTCGATGGCACACCACGACAACAGTAGATCCCGTTGAAATGTGGCTTCTGATTCAGGGTTGTTGCTGTTATGTGCCGTTGAGTTCCCTGTGACTCACAGCCACTCTGTGTATGACAGCGCCGAAGCCTGCTCTGTCCTGAGCCAGTCTCACTGACTCCGACACACCTACCCTCAATGCCCCGGTTACATTATTAATCCATCTCATTCAGAGGCTTCCTCTCCTGCTCTGTCCCTCCACCCTTCCATGCTGTCCTTCTCCAAGGGTTGGTCCCTCCTGTCCCCGTGCCCAGAGTTTGTGAGAGAGAGCTTCAAAATCCTAGCTTCTAAGGAGAAACTTGGTTTAACCTTCTCCAAGATAGACTTTGGTGGTCCACAGTATGTTCAAGGCTCTTCTCCAGCACCACAACTCAAAGGCATCAATTTTCCTCTGTCATCCTTAGTCATTGTCCAACTCTCTGATGCATAGTGAGTAATTGTAAAGACCATGGACTGGGTCAGGGGCACCTTAGTCTCTAGACTGACATCGTTGCTTCTCGGTACTCTGGAGAGGTCCCTGACCTAATAGAATTCATCTTTTGATTTCCTGGCTGCTGGTGCCAAGAGTGTTGATTGTGGAGACGAGCAAGCTGAAATTGTTAACACTCTCACGCTCTTCTCCTCACAGTGCTGCCAATTCAGAGTAAGGGAGGAAAGCAGATTTGCAGCAGGCAGTAGAACCAGAGCAGCTCGGTTGGGAGCCCTGGTTAGAACCACTTGCCATCCAGCAACTGGTCACACACTTAAGCCCCGTGCCACCAGGGACTCCAATGGTTATGTAGATTTTAAGACAATATCATGTATGCTCTTCTGCTTGTAATTTCAACCCTTCTTTAAGTCACTTCATGTATACGTTACTCTGTTCCTCCTTCCGGCTTTGTCCAGTTCCCCTTCTTTGCTTATTTCTCTGCCATTTCTCAAACCCAGACCCTCATCAGCCAAGGCCTCACTGACCACAGGAGCTTGCTTTTCACCTGCCCAGACTTCACCCCCAGGCTCCCCGCCACACCACCTAGGTCACAGCTGGCCGATTTCTCTCCCTGTCTCCTACTCTGCTCACTGCCCTCAAGTCACTTCCGGCTTCCAGCCGCCCTGTTGGACAGACTAGAACTTCTCCATCCAGTTCGTGAGTCTGTCAGTCTTCACAGGAACAGACTTCCTTGTCTCTCTCACACAGAGCAACAGGTGGGTTTGAACTGCCCACCTTATGCTTCCTCCCCCAACGTCTCGTCCTCCTGGAGCACCTTCACAGGCAGCCCCTCCATGGCCTCCTGGTCACCAAGGCCACGAGGCCTGCTGTTCAGCCTTCCCCTTTCAGCATCTCTGGCAGCAGCAGCCCCGTGCCCCCCACATCCTCGGCCCCATGACCTTTGGTTAGTGTGTGTGTGTGTGAGCCTCTAGTGTCCTGGTTTGTATCGTGTGTGTGTGTGTGTGTGTGTGTGTGTGTGTGTGTGTGTCTAGTGTCCTGGTTTGTATCGTGTGTGTGTGTGTGCGCGCGCGCGCGCGCGCACGCGCGCACCTCTCTAGTTTCATGGTGAACTGTGTGTACACACCCCTGCAGGCCCGGGCACCGGGCCTTACACTCCCTCCCACTCCCCACACTGCTCTGTGCCTAGCGCTGCTTGCTGAATAAGCGTGTGGGAGAAGTTTATTCACTGTTCTCTTCTTTCTTTTGGGGCGTCACCTAAGCTTGGAGGTTAGCTGCCAGGATAATTCTGTGAACTGCCGAGACTTCTTAAAGGCCGTGGCCAGCGACAAACCAGCAAGGCCAGCAGAGCAGCGGGAGGAGAGGGCAGCCATCAACTTCGCGGGGCTCAGCCCGGAGGAGGTGCTCAGGAAGGTGCAGGAGGTGGTCAGCGCCTCCCGGGAGGCCCTGTGGGAGGTAAGGCCCCCCGCCCAGACACCCGGGACAGCAAAGTGGACGAGTTTGTTCCCCTTGGGACGATTGCTTAGAGGAGAGTTCATGTGTGCATGGGAGAACACAGGTGGGGCAGCCTCGAGTTGGACCCCCGAGCTTGGGCTCATGGTCAAAGACGCCCTCCTTCCTGTGGGCGAGGCTGCAAGGTTCGCTCTACCTGGAGGATCTAGGCGAGCTGGATCCAACAGGGCCTGCGATGCATCGCAGGGTGACTTCAGCTGCACATAGCCCATCGCCCTGTGAACTCGTCAGAGTGCTTCCTGAACCCCAAGTAAGAGTTGAGCACATGGGGAACTTGGTTTGAGGCTGGCAAAACCCCAAACCCCAGGCCCCCCGAGAGCCAGTCAGTTCCACCTGCCTGAGATTTCTGAGGTGATAAATCTTCAGGGAGAGACTGAGTCATCCTCCCCCACAGAGCAACCGTTAGATTTGAACCAGTAACTTGTGTATTAGCCACCCAACATTTAACCTCTACCAGGGCTCCTTAAAATTCTCAGCTGAGGCAGAAGAGGAAGATCTTAATCTTGATACAGACTTGATACAGATTTCCAAGTGCAAGAAAAATGAATGATTTTGTTTCGACAGATGGAAAAAAATGTGCTTTCTTTTTATAGCACATGTTTGCACTTTTTCAGCTTGACTGCTGTGTGGGCGAGTGCTGTCTGCCCCATTAGCATTCTTCCCCGGCCCCCACTCTGTACGGAGAGCCCGTGCCAGCTCTGGTCAATGGCCCAGAAAGGCCAGCGGCCTCAGTGTCCCAGCGTGGGCTTGGGTGACAGTGTCCAGTGGCCTGAGGGAGGCCGTATCTTCCTCCTGGGAAGCTGTGCATGGCCCCGGCCAGGTGCTGCCTCAGGGCCTGACTTCAGCGGGAAGGGGCTGGAGTGGAACAGTTCCAGGTTCCTTCTGCCTTTGAAACCTCCCTTCACCTCCGAACAGGAGGGTTTTCAGGGTGGGTGTGAGGCTCACGTCACAAGTTCACGATGGGCTTGTGCAGACAGGGCTTGACGCAGTGGCGCTCTCTGACTTCCTTGTGTCCAGCAAAGGGAGGCAGCAGTCCATCGGCCAGGCCACGGCCCTGCAACCAGTCCTAACTCAGAGTGGACCTACCCCACCACATTCCCAGGGGGGCAACCTGTCCCGAAGCCGGCCACCTCAGATTTCTCCCATGGAGCAGCTAGTGGGTTTGAACCACGGACCTTTTGGTGTGTAGATTGTTGCTTTAACTGCCTCACCACTGGAACTCCAGTGCAATGCAAAGCACTGCTGGGAGGTTGCTCCCCAGCACACCAGCTCTTAATATCAGCTCCTGCACACTAGCTCTTACACAACAGTGCTTACATGTCAGCTTTTACACACCAGCTCTTACCCATCAGCTCTTACACACCAGCTCTTAAATGTCAGATCTTACACGCCGGCTCTTACACTCCAGCACTTACACATCAGCTCTTACACACCAGCCCTTACATATCAGCTCTCACACACTAGTGCTTACACACCAGCACTTACATGTCAGCTCTTTTTATATAATATATAAATTGATTTTTTAATGCCACATATATATTTTTACAGCACATTCTTTCCACTTATTTTTTCCCAATTCATTCATTATTGCACATTTTCCTCCCTGTCCACCCCTCCCCCCAGTTCATTTTTCTCTTTGAAAAGAAAAAAAAATTCTTTCATTGTGATACAATAGCCCCCGAAGTCCACAGACCACTTTACTGTGTATTTCTTTTTCCAGAATCTTGTCATGAAAATAATACCTACTTCTATATTCCTTTTAAACATTCTCTTCCTCATCTGTACCAATGTAGTATACATTATTTATTCCCTCTTTCTCAGACTCCCTTCAGCCCTGATGTCAGTCCTGTTTTACAACAGTGGCACTATGCAGTATTTGTCCTTTTGTGACTGAGATACTTCACTCAGCATAATGTCCTCCAGGGTCACCTATTTTGAATAATATTGCATGAGTTCCTTGTTTTTCAATGCAGCGTAGTATTCCATTGTGTGAATATACCACAGTTTCTCTATCTATTTGTTTGTTGATGGGCACTTAGGTTGTTTCCAACTTCTTGCTATTGTGAACAAAGCTGCAATAAACTCTTACACACCAGTGCTTACATGCCAGCGCTCCATGCATACGTGCGTATGTGCATCAGCGAGTTCCCTGGGGGATGCGGACACTTAACAAACACTCAGAAAACCCACTGTTGTTGTTGTTGTTTGATGCCGTCGAGTCGTAGACGACTCATAGCGACCCTGTGAACAAACAGCCTGAGCACTGTTCGTACATAGAGTTTCCGGAGGCAAGCCATTTCGGAAGTGGATGCCGCTCCTGCTTCCAGGCTTGATTTAATCGGGGAGCTCCACCAAACACTGTCCACCATGAGTAACCATTATTACATTTGACACACCAGTGTCACAGTGTTCAGCATCACAGCAACCACGAGTTACCTCTGTACAGCAACGCACAGACCAGTGCTAGAAAACCAAAAGGTTGGTGGTTCAAATCCCCTCGGAGACTTCTTGGAAGAAGGGTCTGGTGATGAGCCTCTGCAGACCTGCCCTCTGACACCCAAGGCCTCACCCTGAGTCAGAATAGCCTCAAGGGCAAACGCACCAGTCAGGTCTCCCGATGCTGCGATAACTTGCCTTTACTCAGCTTGGAATTTGCAGCGGAGGCTGGGGAAGCCAGGAGGGGGTCCCAGGGCAGGGGGGGCGGTGGGCCCAATGGCAGCCCCTCGGGCTCAGGTGGCTTCACGTGTTTGACTTCGTTGCATCCAATTCCATTGAAGGTATATTTGGAAACATTCCCAGTGGCCCGTGCAACCATTTTTCTTCCTTCTCTTTTTAGGCCTTTGCTAAACTGGACAAAGAGGACACTGGATTTGTCAAGGCTGCAGACTTCGGACATGTTCTCAAGGATTTCTGTTACAAGCTCTCAGACAGCCAGTATCACTATTTTTTGAGAAAACTAAAAATTCATCTAACCCCCCACATAAATTGGAAATATTTTCTCCAGAACTTCAGCTCTTTCCTTGAAGAGGTAAGGAAACATGTAAGCTTCACCTTGTACAAAAACTGGATTACTTTTTTCCAAGTGGAGAATCAATTCAAGTGCGTCCTTTAATTTGGCAAATTAATTATTAGCTCATTCTAATTTTTTCAATTTTTTTTTCTTTTCTTCCCCACCCCCCCTTGTGTATCGTTGAATCAGATCTGACTGGTCCAGGAGGAGATTGCCCCTCCTTCTCCAGCACAGGATCTGGTGGATTCGAACCGTGCACCTTGAGGATTGTAGTGCAGCTTCTGGCCACTAGGCCATGAGAGCTCCCTTAATTAGCTCATTCTAAACGATGCATTCAGATCTGTTCTAGGGTTGGGGTGGGTAGTAGGTGAGCTGATGGCCCCTCACCAGCACAGCAAATGAGGAGTGTGTGTCCTTTTGGAGTAGACTATTAGAAGGTCATCATAGGTCCTGTATTTTAGTGGTAAGTCACTGTTTTGTTTTGTGGCGATGCTGAAGGAGTTGAGCTCTGGGGGCCTCGTACTAAGGAGCTGCCCTGCCAGCTGCAGGCACACAGTTCGAATCCACCAAACACTTCACAGGAGAAAGATGGACAATCTCCCCCCAAGAAATTTACAGCCTCTGAAAAGCTGCTGGAGGGTCAACTGTGAGTCAGATCCAAGTCAAGGGCACAACTCAGCAGGCCCTACCAGCTAAAGGAGTTTGGGTACTGGTGGTGTCCTGCCAGGCCGGCTTAGCTGTCCCCCAAGTCTTAGATTCCAGAATACGATCTGATGTTCAGAGAGGTGGTGCCCAGGGTGCCAGACCCTGAGGTGTGTTTGGGGTGCAAGGAGTGCAGAGCCTGGAGTGGAGGGAGAGGCAGAGAAAGTGGGCTTGGCAGCAGGAGCAGAGAAAGGTCCCGAGGAAGTCAGGGAGGACTTCCCGCAGGAGGGTGTGTGTCTCCTTCCATCCCACAGTCACTGTGACCACGCAAGCATTTATTCTTGGGTTGTTTCTCAGGGCTTTGAACTAGTTCACAGTAGTTCCATAACTGCTGTCAAAACAAGGGAGGAGGATATGCAACAACGAATGAAGGAAAGTCCAACTTTGTCTATAAACTTTTGTCAAAATCACAATTAAAAGAAAAAGAATTTCTTTAAAAAAACCAAACAACAAAACAAGGCATTACATCGCAACCAAATCTGTTAGCCGTGGTGCTTTGACCTGGGGAGGAGAGATACAGGGTCCCTGCTCCAAGACAGCGGCCGACGTGCAGCTTTGAGCGGGTGTCGCTCTCCAGGGTCCTGCCAGCTGTCCCTGCTCCAGCATCAGGCCCCTGAAACGCTTGGGAGGACGATGGTGACAGGGCTTCGGGATAGAATGTTATTAACAAAGACTCTGGAGTGATAAAGCGGGAACTCTCTCCTTCCGAACAGATGGACAGTTGTAAACCTCAGAGGTTCTCATGTTGCAGAGTCTGAAGCTTGATCAAGTTGGTGCTGTAGAGAGTGTTATCTTCTGCGCTTGTTTTCTTTCTTTCTCAGTAGTATATATTCAAGGTTTGTCCGTGTTCACACTGACTCCAGAACCAAAACCAGACTTGTTTCTGTCCAGTCCATTCTAACTCAGCTCCCCCCAGTAGGATGGAGTGGAGCAGCCCCACGGGGTCTCCCAGGCTGGAATTCTTTACTGAGCAGAACACCTCATCTTTCTCCTGTGGGGTGCTGGCGGGTGTGGGCTGCTGACTTCCAGCTGGCCACACAGCCTCCGTGCCACCGGCGATCCTCTCAGGGCCCCCCACTCCCCAGGGTGAATGAACTCTGGTAGGGGAGCAATGGGTGAGCCGTGCACAGTCACACTCGTGTGTGAGCTCCTGGCCCACCACAGCCCTGCTCACCCCTGTGGTCAGCCGGCCTTGACCTTCAGAGCCCCGTTCCCCCGTCGCGGTCAGCCAGCCTTGTCCATTTTACCAGTCAGATCTCTAGAAAGGTGAAAGAAAACCCTTTAAATATTCCAGACCATTCCGGCTCTGTTGCCAGTGTGTTTTCCAAGTGCATGCCAGTCTGTGGTTGGTCTTGAACTTACAAACATCTCCTCCTGGTCTGTGACTTTGCTGTGGTGGCATTCACAGTTTTTCATGCTTCTGCATTTTCTGATCTTAAAAAAGACTGCATCTTCATTGTGGGCAGTTTGGAACGTTCAGGAAAGGACAACCTCAAAGTATGATCTCAACCCCGAGATCAGAGCTGCCTTTCAGATCTAGATGACACAGGCTGAGTCCAAGAGGTCAGGTGAGGGCCACGCCTCCCAGCAAGGAGAGGTGAACAAGGAGCGTTCACCTGAACGCCTGGGTCTTTAGCTACAACCCCACGGCCTTGTCTCCTCGTCACAGTGCATTTGTCACACACCACAGAGAACACTGCATCTCCAGCGTCGGTGTCTTGGAACAGGACACCACAGTAGAACCTGGGCTTTGGGTGGTGGTGGTTTTTTTCAGTCAACATTCATTTCAGCCGTTTCTTATAAAGGTTTTGCCAACGTCAATTCAAATGTCTATGTATTGTCAACTCCCTTCATTTTAAGAATTTTCTTTTTCCTCTGCTCCTAGTTTTTGTTAATGTGATCCTCTCTGCAGTGAACCCTTTACTGGTAAATCTCTGTTCACATTTTTCATTCTCTGTTTGAGATAAACCCCCAGAACGAGAACCCCCACCATCAAATTGGTCATGACTCACGTGGCCCTGCAGGACAGTGTGAAATGCCCAGTAGGGTCCCAATGCCAAGCATCTTCATAGAAGTAGAAGGTTTATCTCTCTGCAGAAGAGTGCAGGCTAGGGAGCTCTGGTGGCCTAGTGGCAAGAAGCTGCACTGCAATCCCAGAGGTACATGGTTCAAATCCACCAGATGCTCTGCTGGAGAAGGAGGGGCAATCTTCTCCTGTACCAGTCAGATCCGATTTGACAGAGCACACACACACAATAATAAAGTAAAATAGAGTGCAGGATATGAACCACCGACCTTTATGTTAGTAGCTCAGTGCTATCCTTAATCTACTGCGCCACAGACTCCTTTTCTTTAGAATCAAGAGCAAGAAATCTATAATCAGGGCCCAAGGAATGCAGTGCTTCTGTTGATCTTGAAAACAGCCTCTCATATTGTGGGTTTTTAAAGCATTTTTCAACTGGATTGAATCCTGTGAAATTACTGTTTTTAAGCCAGAAATGATGGACAGTTGATCATCTCGTGTGCTCGATGCATGTACTTTGTACGAGTTTTGGATGCCCATTGCACGTGGTTTGGAGAATCCAAATGCTGATGCTGAAAACCCTCACCTGTACCCTCACACAACTGGTGTTAACGTCTGTAACCCCTCCATCCAGCCCCGCTTTCTGTACAGATGAGCTTTGGGGGAGGTCAAGGACAGGCTGCATCTGCTGTTGGTTTAAAGGTGGTCGCAGGTGGGCAGGCTCTTGGTGGTCTCTTTTTGAGTGAGCGTGTTTTAGCTGTAGGGCAGGACACATGCCCGCTATAACGAAAGTCCGATTGTTGCCAACTTTAAAAAGCATGGACCCCTCGGCCTCACGCGGCTGCCTCTCACGGCTGCCCCATCGCTTCAGCTGCGTGCTCCCTGTGTCTGAGGACCATGTCTGTCTCCCTTTCGTGGGCATCAGCTGTCAGCACAGGTGTGTGCAGGAGGGCTGGCTTATCCTCCAGCCCCCAGCTCCTTCCTCCTCCGAGATTCCCCCAGTCTTCTGCACGCCACCTCCACTCCCAGGGCTGCATGTACCTTGGCCTTCATTTTCCTCTACAGAGCATAAGTTCTCCTGTGTGTGTTCTGCTAATGGAAGCATCTGCTCTCTCCATCAGCAGAGGGCCCTGTGGCCCTCTGCAGACCAGATGCTGGGCTGGGTGCCGGGTTTATCCTCTGCCTTCTAGAAGCTTCTCTTCTCATGAGGAAAGATGGAAAAATGACAAGTAAATGTGTGGTCTGGTTCAGGTTTGCTCCAGCTTGGCGGGGCCTTGATTCTCAGCACTTTTGTAGTTATGATGTGACTTAGTTATTAGGTAATGACACGTTTGTCCCCATGATGAGATCGGATGTGATCAGCCAATCAGTGGTCAGGGGAGTTTCCTTGGGGTGTGGCCTGCATCCAGTACACGTAAGAATGTTTTAGAAAAGTTTGATTTTTTTGCTCTGGAGATGGAACCGGCTTCTACTCTTCTCACCTTTGGTTCTTGGGATTCATCAGTCTCACAACGAAAAGCCAATCTTAGCGGCCTCAGCTTCTGCAGCCCAGGAGATCCTGGCCTGCTGCTCATCTGACCTGCTGGCCGTGAGTTCGTGAATGCCACGGAGTCAGGAGGAGCCTCCAGCCTGACTTCTGACTTAAGGTCCTTGTGAAGCATGTCCTCACTTCCTGGACATCAGTCTGCGCACGCGCGCGTGTATGTGGGGGGTGTCTTTCTCCTCCTCAGGAATGCTTTATTTTACGCCTTTTCATTTTCTATCACTTGACAGATACCACAATTTTTTTTATAACTAATTGAAGGTTCGTGACAACTCTGCACTGAACAAGTCTATCACTACCATCTTCCCAGCAGTCTGTGCTCACTCAGTGTCTCTGTGTCACATTTCAGTCATTGTGACTATATTTCAAACATTTTCATAATGGTGCCACACACTTAATACACCGAAGTATATTATCAACGTAGTTCTTGTGTGTACTGGGAAACCGAAAATGGAGTAACTTGCATGATTGCGATTTTGCTTTCTCATCCTGTTTTCTGTTGTTGGGCATGTAGGATTTCCAGTGTTCTGCATAATGACATTGTTGTTGTTGTTGGCCAAGTAGACTCAGGGTAGAACTGCCCGATGGCATTTTCTAGGCGGCTGTCATTATGAACACCAATGTCCAGGTCTTTGTCCAGTGGGGACACTGAGAGATTAGAGGTTGGCACCCACTCAGCAGTCCCCCTGGACACAGACTGGACAGCCTGTCCCCTAGGTGACCCACAGGGAAGTTCTGCCCCCTCCTGTG